TTTGGGTGACATTTAGAGATAAGATTGGTGATGTAATTTGGGGCAGTGTCATGGATGGCTTTGTATGTCATAGTTAGTGTTTTGAATTTTATCCGTTGGGCAATGGGAAGCCAGTGGAGAGATTGGCAGAGAGGGATGGAGGACGCTGAGTGGAGGCCAGTGGGGATTGGCAGAGAGGGGTGAAGGACACTGAATGGGGGCCAGTGGAGGGATTGGCAGAGAGGGGTGGAGGACACTGAGTGGAGGCTAGTGGATGGGATTGGCAGAGAGGGGTGGCAGATACAGAACGGTTAGTAAGGTGGATGAGTCTGGCATCAGCATTCATGATGGACTGGAGTGGGGATAGCCTGCGGAGAGGTCAGCCAATGAGGAGGGAGTTACAATAGTCAAGGTGAGATATAACAAGGGAGTGAATGAGTTGCTTAGTGGTTTCCGAGGTTAGGAACGGTCGTATCTTGGAGATGTTGCGGAGGTGAAGTCTACAAGATTTGGACAGTGGATTGGATTTGGGGCTGAAAGGACAGATGGGAGTCTAGGATTACACCTAGTACCCTGGCATGAGGGGAGGGACTGATTGTGTTATTGATCTTGATGGAGAAGTCAGGGGGGGGGGGGCACGGGCTGGAGGGAATACTAAGAGCTCAGTTTTGGAAAGATTGATTTTGAGGAAGTGGAGTGACATCCATGCCGATATGTCACTTAGTATGTTAGTGATGGGAGAGGAGACTGAAGGGGTGAGGTGAGGAGGAGACTGAAGGGGTGAGGTGAAGAGTAGAAAGATAGATTTGTGTGTCATCAGCATAGAGATGATACTTAAAGCCATGGGAGTTTATCAAGTGACCAAGGGAGGAGGTGTAGATGGAGAAGGGAAGGGGTTCAAGGACAGAACCTTGAGGGAACCCTACAGAGAAAGGGAGTGAAGAGGAGGAGGTGACATTATAGGTAACGCTGAAGGAGCGCTGCGATAGGTAGGAGGAGAACCAGGAGAGAGCAGAGTCTTGGAGGCCAAGAGAGTGGAGTTTTTTGAGGAGGAGGGGATGGTAAACAATATCAAAAGCCAGTAAGTTCGATCTAAATAGTTCGATCGGAAATAAATGTTCATAAAGAATCCTGCGATCGATTCATAAGTAAGGTGAACACAGCTTGTATCAAATCCGGAAAATGGCAGAAATGCGCACTCACCGACCGCGCATAGGAAATGCGCATATGTGTATCAAATCCCACAGATGTCGTTATCCTCCAGAAAGGGGTGTCATCAGACGATCTGCTGGGCTAGACGGGCCTCCTTAGATATGGATCAGCCAAGGTATATATTCCTTCCAGGTGCAGGATTCCCTCCTCTGGATAAGATATACAGCTGTGTCTGCCAACCCCTCAGTGAGGGGTAAAAATAGGGAAAGTACCCATAGTGTAGTATGTAAATGTTTTATTGGTGCATAAAATCTAAAAAATCAGGTCAGTGAACAAGATACTGGCACAATGCCAGAAGAACACACAGTGAGGACTTGTTAAAAGAAAATAAGTACTGACCCTAGTAGCAGTTGGCCGCCAGACCTACACGTGGTCTGGGCGGCTAGATCAGGCGTCACAGGCTGTCAGTTCCTCCTGAGGCCTTTCGTGCTAAGGCACATCATCAGAGGGGTCAGTATCCCCTCTGATGATGTGCCTTAGCACGAAAGGCCTCAGGAGGAACTGACAGCCTGTGACGCCTGATCTAGCCGCCCAGACCACGTGTAGGTCTGGCGGCCAACTGCTACTAGGGTCAGTACTTATTTTCTTTTAACAAGTCCTCACTGTGTGTTCTTCTGGCATTGTGCCAGTATCTTGTTCACTGACCTGATTTTTTAGATTTTATGCACCAATAAAACATTTACATACTACACTATGGGTACTTTCCCTATTTTTACCCCTCACTGAGGGGTTGGCAGACACAGCTGTATATCTTATCCAGAGGAGGGAATCCTGCACCTGGAAGGAATATATACCTTGGCTGATCCATATCTAAGGAGGCCCGTCTAGCCCAGCAGATCGTCTGATGACACCCCTTTCTGGAGGATAACGACATCTGTGGGATTTGATACACATATGCGCATTTCCTATGCGCGGTCGGTGAGTGCGCATTTCTGCCATTTTCCGGATTTGATACAAGCTGTGTTCACCTTACTTATGAATCGATCGCAGGATTCTTTATGAACATTTATTTCCGATCGAACTATTTAGATCGAACTTACTGTATTTTACACTGTGTTATCTAGCGCTGCACTTTTCTAATTTTTCTTTTATAGAGGTGGTTGTGATCATCCTTAGTGCTTTTAGCTGCTTATGTGACAATTTTAACAGTAGCGCTCACTTTTGTATATCAATATCAAAAGCCGCAGAGAGGTCAAGTAGTAAGAGTATGGAGTAGTGGTCATTGGTTGGGATGAGTACGGAGTAGTGGTCATTGGTTGGGGGCTGAGTATGGAGTAGTAGCCATTAGTTGTGATGAGTATGGAGTAGTCGGCATTGGTTGGGATTAGAATAGAGTAGTGGCCATTGGATGGGATGAGTACGGAGTAGTGACCATTGGTTGGGATGAGTATGGAGTAGTGGCCATTGGTTGGGATGAGTACGGAGTAGTGACCATTGGTTGGGATGAGTACGGAGTAGTGACCATTGGTTGGGATGAGTACGGAGTAGTGGCCATTGGTTGGGATGAGTACGGAGTAGTGACCATTGGTTGGGATGAGTACGAAGTAGTGGTCATTGGTTGGGATTAGTACGGAGTAGTGACCATTGGTTGGGATGAGTACGAAGTAGCGGTCATTGGTTGGGATTAGTACGGAGTAGTGGCCATTGGTTGGGATGAGTATGCAGTAGTGGCCATTGGATGGGATGAGTATGGAGTAGTGGCCATTGGTTGGGATGAGTATGCAGTAGTGGCCATTGGATGGGAGTATGGAGTAGTGGCCATGGTTGGGAGAGTACATAGAAGTGACCATTGGTTGGGATGAATACGGAGTAGAGGCCATTGGTTGGGAATGAGTACGGAGTAGTGGCCATTGGTTTTAGCAGTTAGTAGATCATTAGTGAGTTTTAGTAGGGGCAGTGTCAGTGGAGTGTAGTGAGTGAAAGCCAGACTGTAAAGGGTGAAGAAGGTTGTTGTCGGTGAGGTGGGAGCTCAGGTGATTGTAGACTAAGCGTTCTAGGAGTTTAGAGGTAAATGGCAGCAGGGAGATGGGTCTTAAGTTGTTCAGGTTGGTGGGGTCCAGGGAGGGCTTGTTAAGTATGGGAGTGATGTGCGCATGCTTTAGAGGGGAGGGGAAACAAATGTGAGTGGAAACAATATGTTGTACTGAGTGTCTAATTAACAGTATTACACTATGGGAAGTTCTGTTTGTGTCCTATATGACGTTTGAGAGGAGGTGGAGTGGAAGTCCTGTGATCCCCTGAGAGCTATAGCCTTGTGGCCCTGTGTGGGTCAAGGTGGGGAGGTGAGCAGGCACTGCTGCCATTGGAGGATTCCTTTTGAGCACTAGAAGTGAAGATCACTGAGTGTTTTCACATTATTGCATGGACTTTTTTCACTTATTTTAGGCACAGTGTTGTTTTTATATATTTATTTATCATAAGAAATAGTGGATTTAATATATAATGAATTTTTTTTATGGAATATTTTGATTTATGGTTCGTCACAGAAATTAATAATCACTTATTTTGATTAAGAATCACAGTTTTATTAATTCCAATTTTATAGGTTTGTCACAATATATCACGGATATATATATATATATATATATATATATAATTATTTTATTATTGAATATTATAATCGACGGATTTTGATTTCATACCACTGATTAATTTGAAGGATGGAATAATTAAGGGAATATTAATTTTGTCACATATTTATTTTCAATCACGGATTTATATTATTTTGAGTTATATATGTCACGTTGTTTTATTATATTTATTTGAGATATCCCACTGTTCTATTGGATATCTCATAGTTCTAATTGGATGGTATTTTATAATTATTATAGTTTTTGATGGTACCTATTGTGTGTATATAGGGATTTATTTTAGCGCTTCACTATTTTAGGGTGTGGTACTTTTTGACTTAATGGTTAAGGCAGAGTGATATAGCAGCTGTAAGTATAGGGATTTATTCATATTAAGCGCAGGAGGATATTCCCCTTTTTTTACACTGACCTCACAGCTCCTCCTCCCAATGTCCCTCCTTCTGGCGTTTTTTTTTCTGATGTTCTTAGGATGTCAGCAGGTACTTGCTATTCTCACTAGCACAGTGGGACTGTTTGTCCTGTCATATGTAATGACATCAGAACTGCATACTCCAAACTTTACCCTGAGTTATGTGGGGTCCTGTGGGGGGAAATTATACTTCATTCTGAAGTGGGACTTTAAAAAACAGAGAAATGGCCGGAGAGGTGAGGAGGATTCTGGGAATATCATTTGATGTGACTCTTTGTGTTCAGATGTAGAGTTTTCCTCCTGTGAAGTCTGGAGATCATATGACATCACATTGCCTCCACCTCCCTCCCTGATAGAAGAGAGAAAGAAGAAGAAGATTCTAGAAGTCACCAGAGAGATCACTGAGCTGCTGACAGGAGAGGTGAGCGGTGCCGGGAATTCTGGGACATTCTCCAGTAACAGACAAGGGATGTGTCTGGATGGTGACTGTATCATTGTGTGTGTCAGGTTCCTATAAGGTGTCAGGGTGTCACTGTCTATTTCTCCATGGAGGAGTGGGAGTATTTAGAAGGACACAAGGATCTCTACAAGGACGTCATGATGGACAATCAGCCGCCCCTCACATCACCGGGTAAGAGGAGACTTTATTGTAAAGGAGAGAGCAGTACGGAGGATCCACCTAGATCCCCCATCATCTGATAAACACATAGAAACAATGGATTCAGTCAGTGTGTGTGTTTCCTACAGATGGATCCAGTCATGGGAACCCACCAGAGAGATGTCCCCGTCCTCTGTATTCCCGGGATTCCACACAGGAAGGTCACACCATCCCTCACCATTACAAGGTTGGTGGGATGGAGCATCTAGAACATGGACTTGTAAAGATGATGTGTGGATTTTTTATGTGACCTTATATTTTTACAGATGATATTTTCTCTCATTTCCTTGATTTAGAGTGGAGATCCAATCGATATAGAATTTGAGGTGAAAGCAGCAGAAGAAGAAGAGGCGTATGTGAGGGATGATCAGCAGTCTATGGAGGAGGATGGAATAACGGGGACATTTATAGAGGAGGACACTCCTACAGAGATCAGCACAGGTGGGTCATGAACACTAAATCCATTCCTCCACCCATACTGCTCACTGATGATTGGTCCAGAGTAGGGCGGGGACTGGGTGATATCAGCCTGTAATCCCCTGGTCACTTTCCTGAGCTGTGTTCCCCGTCCTGTATTCCTGGATTTCTCTCGGATAATCTTCCTTCTCTGTGCTGCAGACACAATTTATGTCTCTAGACTGGATTTATGGAGGTTCTGGGGTTCAGCTGGCAGCAAAAGTGTTCACCATTTTTACTTAGGCCCTAAGCATTGGTATGTAGGCCCCAGGACATGTGACTGGGGTCTAGTAAGCCTTGTGCCTGACTCCTCCAGGGGACCTTCTCTGTTATCTGCTGGCTGTGCCGGGTGGAGGGATATGTCTGTAGTGTCTCAGACCCAAGTCACTGAGTGCAGTCTCAGGAGATGGGGAGGCAAGCAACCCTTTAAGGACCTTTAATTACTGAATAACAATATTATGAGTCCTGACCCCTGCACTATATACTCTATGTTGTACATTACATACTCCTGACCCCTGCACTATATACTCTATGATTGTACGTTTTACATACTCGTGACCCCTGCACTATATGCTCTGTTGTATATACATACTCCTCAACCCCTGAGACATTACATACTCCTGACCCCTGCACTACACTATATACTCTGTTGTACATTACATACTCCTGACCCCTGCACTATATACTTATGTGTTGTACATTACATACTCCTGACCCCTGCACTATATACTCTATGTTGTACATTACATACTCCTGACCCCTGCACTATATACTCTATGTTGTACATTACATACTCCTGACCCCCTGCACTATATACTCTATGTTGTACATTACATACTCCTGACCCCTGCACTATATACTCTATGTTGTACATTGCATACTCCTGACCCCTGCACTATATACTCTATGTTGTACATTACATCTACTCCTGACCCCTGCACTATATACTCTGTTGTACATTACATACTCCTGACCCCTGCACTATATACTCTATGTTGGTACATTACATACTCCTGACCCCTGCACTATATACTCTATGGTGTACATTATTATTATAGATACAGGATTTATGGCGCCAATGGTTTGGTCAGCGTTTAGGACATTAGAAGTGGGAGACAATACAGCAACAATACAGTTCAATACAAGAGGGATTAGAGGGCCCTGCTCCTTGGAGCTTACAATCTTGGGAGGGAGGGTGAGTGGTACAGTAGGTAGTCACTGTGGGGGATGGAGTGATTGGAAGAGTAGGCCAGGATACCAGAATTAGCATAGGGCGGGGTAGGCTTCCCTGAAGAGAAAGGTTTTTAGTGAACGCCGAAAGGCAAGTAGAGTAGGTGATAATCTGGATAGATTACATGGGTAGGGAGTTCCAGAGGATGGGTGACGCCCTGGAGGGAGCATGGGCGGAGGAGACTAGAGCTAGAGCATAGGAGGTCTTGCGAGGAGCAGAGAGTACAGTTTTGGTGATATCTAGAGATTAGATCGGTTATGAAAATTGGGCAGAGTTGTGGTTGGCTTTATATGTCATTGTCAGAGTTTTGAATTTTAATCCGTTGCGCAACTGGGAGCCAGTGGAGGGATTGGCAGAGAGGGGTGGAGGACACTGAGTGGAGGCCAGTGGAGGGATTGGCAGAGAGTGGGTGGAGGAGGACTGAATGGAGGACCTCAGTGGAGGGATTGCAGAGAGGGGTGGAGGACACTGAATGGAGGCCAGTGGAGGGATTGGCAGAGAGGTAGGAGGAGAACCAGGAGAGAGCGGAGTTGCTGAGGCCAAAAGAGTGTAGTTTTTTGAGGAGGAGGGGGTGGTCAATCATGTCAAAAGCCGCAGAGAGGTCGAGTAGTAGGAGTATTGAATAGTGGCCATTGGTTTTAGCAGTTAGTAGATCATTAGTGAGGTTTAGTAGGGCGGTGTCAGTGGAGTGTAGTGAGTGAAAGCCAGACTGTAAAGGGTGAAGAAGGTTGTTGTCGGTGAGGTGGGGGAGCTCAGGTGATTGTAGACTAAGCGTTCTAGGAGTTTAGAGGTAAATGGCAGCAGGGAGATGGGTCTTAAGTTGTTCAGGTTGGTGGGGTCCAGGAGGGCTTGTTAAGTATGGGAGTGATGTGCGCATGCTTTAGAGGGGAGGGGAAGGCACCAGTAGAGAGGGAAAGATTGAAGATGTGAGTGAGGGAGCATAGGATGGAAGAAGAGGGTGACTGTAGTAGTTGTGAGGGGACAGGATCCAGGGGGCGGGTGGCTGAGTTCGGCTTCTGATAAGACCTTTAGGACCTGTCCAGTGGTAGCGAGGTCAACGGAGGACAGTGTTGAGGGAGGTATGGTGTGAGGGATACTAAGTGGGGTGGGTGTCTGTGTAGTGGCAATGTCCCTATGAATTGCATCGTTCTTGTTTTGGAAGTGGTGTGCAATCTCGTGGGCAGTGACTGGGTGGCGGTGGGGGCAGAGAAAGTAGAGAGTTAAAGGTAGAGAAGAGCCGATGAGGACTGGAAGAAGAAGATATTAATAAGAAGGACAAAGTAGGCTTGTTTGGCAGTTTGAAGGGAGGAAATTGTATGTTAGAAAAGCAGGTTTATATTGGGTGAATGCTTGGTGGGATTTGGTTTTCGCTCCAGCAGGATTACATTACATACTCCTGACCCCTGCACTATATACTCCATTTTATACATTACATACTCCTGACTTCTGCTCTCTATCTACCCACTGTTATATATTAACATAGGAAAACATTGAGAAGATGGCAATGAGTGATAGAGGGGGTGGGGACCCTCGTCCTATAATCCCCTCATCACTGTCCCTCCTATAAAAGACAGTTCTGGTTGTTATCCTCACTCTCTGACTAAGGTCCATGAATAAAGAAATGACCTGGTAGGAGATCAGAGGAGCCATTTCCTAGTTCCCTTGAGGGTGGAATTGTAAGCTCCTCAGACCAAGCTGCCTGATGGGGGTGGGCGGAGTCCTGGTTTGGGGGAACCAATCAGCTCCTGTCTAGTAATCCTCTTTGTCTTTGTATTTTAGTCCATGGCCGGGAGATGAGGAAAACCTCCGAGGATTGTCTCACTTTGTCTCCAGACTGGAAAGTAGAAGATGAGGACATCACACAGTATAGTCCAGGAGAAAACCCGGCTCCCTCCAATGTCCATCCGGCACCACCCAGTGTAGATGGACCATCAGATTCCTCGTATCCTGAGGAACCTCAGACTGTGCGGGACCGGGCCGGCCTTCCAACAGGGAGGAGCTTCTCCTGTACTGAGTGCGGGAAGGGTTTCCGTTATAAATCCAAACTTAATGTGCATAAAAGATCTCACACGGGGGGGAGAAGCCATATTCCTGTTCTGAGTGCGGGAAATGTTTTTCAAGGAAGTCCAATCTTTACACACATCAGCGAGCTCATACAGGAGAGAAGCCGTATTCCTGTCCTGAGTGCGGGAAATGTTTTTCACAGACGTCCAATCTTTATAGACATCAGCGATTTCATACAGGTGAGAAGCTGTATTGCTGTCCTGAGTGCAGGAAGGATTTCTGTTCTAAATCTAGTCTTAATGTGCATAAAAGATCTCATACGGGGGAGAAGCCGTATTCCTGTTCTGAGTGCGGAAAATGTTTTGTAGTAAAAAAATCAAAACTTATAATACATCAGAGGTCTCATGCAGGAGAAAAGCCGCATTCCTGTTCTGAGTGCGGGAAATGTTTCCGTTCTAAATCCCTTGTTAATGTGCATAAAAGATCTCACACGGGGGAGAAGCCGTATTCCTGTCCTGAGTGCGGGAAATGTTTTTCAAAGAAGGACAATCTTTCCATACATCAGAGATCTCACACGGGGGAGAAGCCATATTCCTGTCCTGAGTGCGGGAAATGTTTTGTAGAAAAATCAAAACTTGTCAGACATCAGAGTTCTCACACGGGGGGAGAAGCCATATTTTTGTCCTGAGTGTGGGAAATGTTTTCACAGACGTACCAACTTTATAAACATCAGAGATCTCACACGGGGGAGAAGCCATTTTCCTGTCCTGAGTGTGGGAAATGTTTTTCAGACAAGTCCAGTCTTCACACCCATCAGAGATCTCACACAGGGGAGAAGCCATATTCCTGTCCTGAGTGTGGGAAATGTTTTTCACAGATGTCCAGTCTGCACACACATCAAAGATATCACACAGGGGAGAAGCCGTTTTCCTGTCCTGAGTGTGGGAAATGTTTTTCACAGAAGTCCAATCTTTACACACATCAGAGATCTCACACAGAGGAAAAGCCGTATTCCTTTTCTGAGTGCGGGAAATGTTTTTCAGACAAGTCTAAACTTTACAAGCATCAGAGATCTCACACGGGGGAGAAGGTACTTTCCTTTCCTGAGTGAGGGAAATGTTCCTCACTGAAGTCCTGTGTTCCTGTACATCAGGGGGTCCCACACAACCCTGGAGGTGTATTGGTGCCCTGAGTGCGGGAAATGTCTTCTAGATGAATGTTGCTGGACATCCCAGCTCTCATGTGGGGAAGAAGCACACCCTGATATACACCTCAGATATACTCCATGGCTGATCTTCATCATGGAAGAAACAGTTCATAAGGAGATCAGAGGCCCCCAAAGACATGGATGAAGTGTGGGACCGGGTTGGTCATTGATGGTAGGAGAATAAAAAATGGAGTCCTGCCCTGTGATTGGCTGAGTACATTTTGTGGTGGGAGATTTCACAAACACTTGGAGGTCTATGGAGAACAATGTTGAACGGATGTGACCGGCATTCTCCAGCTGGGAGGAGTTTTGGCCATATTTTATTTCTTATGATCATTGGCTCCATCTAGTGGCCATAATATCATATTGGGCTAGTTTTACTGATGGAGATATTTCAGAAAAATCACCTCATTGTGGCCACTAGATGGAGCCGGCGATCATAGGAAATCACTGTGTTACTTACATAAGGCCGGATGTTGTCACAGCTGGAGGAATGATTGTCTCATTGGTCCAATGAATGTTCTATAAATAGAGCCCTTGGTTTCCTTTGTCAATTGTCTTCTGTTCACTGGTCTTCTCAGTGAATGGCTGCACAGGGAGGGGGATGTCAGGACAAGTCTGATGATTGGAGGAGAGCAGGCTTAGCTCCCAGCACAGTTAGAGAACTGACCATGCTGAGCTCTCATGCCCAGTATGGTCAGTTTTAATAGGAAATCAGAGGGACTGGCAGGATCACCGGGGATCTCACACAAAGGAAGCAATACAGAGAGAAGAGGAGACGTCTTCATACCAGGACATGGGACAGCCGGCACAGATCAGGAATAGGACATGTTGGAGGAACATATTCTTTGAAGGAGAAGTTCAGGCAAAGCTCTTTTGTCTGTACTTCTGTGGATCAGAGGAGTGCAGTTCATTCTGATCTCCTGTGAAGTCTAGGGAAAATCCCGACATCAGAGGGGACCAGCCCCCCCCCCCCC